AGCAGATTGAATCGCGAGATTTTAATGTCTTTCGAACAAGTAAGTAACGATATTAGCAGACGAAAATTGTACGAATGGAATTTAGAAGGAAAGAAATGAATGAAAAATGAAATGAAGTTGAAATAGATTACAAATGGGACGTCAAGAAAGATTAGATTCCCATTCGCAAGATTCCCGTCGCCATCTTGTAAACAACTCGCCCGCGCTGACGCGAAGCAGCTTCTCAGCTTCGCGGCGCGCAGTGTCGTTCAGACGAGCGTCGCGAGCGTGCGCTCTTCTGAACATGCCTCGGTCTCACCGCGGCAGGATGCCACTGGTGGCGAAACCTGTTCTCACGCGCACAGACTCGCTACTGGGTCGATTAACTGTATCTCACCGCGCGCCAGGATGCCTATCCTGGGTCGATTAACTTGTTCTCTAGCGCGGCAGGACGATTACCTGTTGTCGATTAACCGGTTCTCACGCGTACAGGACTGGCACCTGGAGCGACTTAACCTGTTCTCACGCGCACAGGACTCTACTGGGTCGATTAACCTGTTCTCATGCAGAGCAGGACTGCACCTGGTGGCGATTAACCTGTTCTCATGCATGCAGACTGCTACCTGTGCGAATTAACTGTTCTAATGCACGCAGGACTTCACCTGGTGTCGCAATTAACCAGTTCTCATGCATGCAGGACTGCTCCTGTGTCGATTAACCTAGTTCTCACGCAGCAGGATGCTACCGTGCGGTGGCGATATAAACCTGTTCTCACGCATGCCAGGACTGCTACCTAGTGTCGATGAACCTGTTACTCACGCGCCAGGACTGCTACCTTCGTGTCGATTAACTGGTTCCACACACGCAGCCGACTGCTTACGGGGTCGATTAACCTATTCTCACGCTTACAGGCACTGCTACCTGTGCGATTTTAAACCTGTATCTCACGCGCCAGGACTGCTACCTGGTGTCGAATTAACCTGTTCATCATGCATCATGCAGGACTGTAACCTCCGGTGTCGATTAACCTTTCTACGCGCGCAGACTCTACCTGGTGCGATTAACTTGTTCTCCATGCACGCAGACTGCTACCTGTGTCGATTAACCTGTTCTCCATGCATGCCAGGACTGCTACCTGCTGTCATTAACCTGTTTCTCAGGCATGCAGGACTGCTACCTGGGGTCGATAACCTGTTCGCATGCATGCCAGGACTCCTACCTGGCGAGTAAACCTGTTCTCACGCCGACAGCACTGCTACCTGGTGATCGATTAACTGTTCATGCCACGCAGGACTGTACCTAGGTCGACTTAACCTGGTTCTGCAGCATGCAGCGGACTGCTACCTTTCGATTAACCTTGTCTTCATGCACGCAGGACTGCTACCTGGATGTCGATAACCAGTTCTCATGCTGCAGACTGCTACCTGGTGCGATTACCTTTCTCACGCATGCAGGACTGCTACCTGGGATCGAATTAACCTGATTCTCACCGCGCAGGACTGCTACCTGGTGTCGATGAACTTGTTCTCATGACACGCAGGACTGCGACCTGTCGTCAATTAACCTGTTATCTGCAATGCAGACGTGCTACCTGGTGTCGAATTAAACCTGTTCTCAGGCAGAGGACTGCTACCTGGCGATTACACCTGTTCTTCACGCCGGCAGGACTGCTTTACCTGAGTGTCGATTAACCTGATCTCACGCATGCAGGACTGCTACTCGGTGTCGATTAACCTGTTCTCATGGCATGCAGGACTGACCTGGTCGATTAACCTGTTCTCACGCGCACAGACTGCTACCTGGTGTCGATACCTGTTCCGCTGCGCAGGACGCTAACCTTCGGTGTCGATTAACGTTCTCACGCGTTACAGAGACTGCACCTCGTGCGCATAACCTGTTCCTATGCCACGCAAGACGGCTATTCCTGGTGTCGTAACTGTTCTCACGCATTGCGGACTGCCTACCTGTCCTGTCGATTACCTGTCTTCACGCGTACATGACTGCGACCTGGGTCGATTTAGACCAGTTCTCATGCATGCCAGGACTGCTAACGCTGTGTGTCGATTAACCTGTTTCTCACGCATGCAGACTGTACCCTGGTGTCGATTAACCTGTTATCAGCACGCAGGACGGCTACTGTGTCGATTAACCTGGTTCTCACGCGTACAGGACGCTACCTGGATGTCGATTAACCATCTCAATGCCATGCAGGGACTTGCTACCTGGTGGGCGATTAACCTGGTTCTCACGCGCGCAGAGCTGCGACCTCTTGGTGTCGGAAGTAACCGTTCTCGACGCCGCAAGTGACTGTACTGGATGTCGATTTAACCTCTTCCACAGCGCGCAGGACTGTACCTGTGCAGACTTAACCTGTCTCATGCAGCAGACTGCTACCTGGTCGTTAACTGTTCTCATCGTGCGCAGGACTGGCTCCTTGGTGTCGATGATACCTGTTCTCACGCGATGCAGACTGCTACCGGGGTCGAAGTACCTGTCTCAGCATGCAGGACTGCACCTGGTGCGATTAACCTTTTCTTCACGCATGCCGGACTGCCTACCTGGTGTCGATTGGAGACCTGTTCTCGACGCATGCAGCGACTGCTACCTGGTGTCGTTTAGACCTGTTACTCACGCCACAGGACTGCTACCTGGTGTCGATGGTAAACCTGTTCGTCACGCGCCCGCGCAGGACTGCCACCTGGTGTCGAGTCTAACCATGTTCTCACGGTGCGCAGGACTGCTACCTGGGTCGATTAACCGAGAGGCGGTGTTCAGGAGAAACGCGAACGCCTCAAATTCGATACGCTCGCTGCACGAACGCAGCCGTCCTTGAACGACACACGAGCGTGCTGTGCGCTCGCTTGATTCAAATGATGGCGGCGCCCCCCATGGAGCGTTAGTCCAGCAGATATTAATGTCTTCGAACAAGTACTGTTAGACGAAGAGCAGACGAATATTGATACGAATGAAATTAGAAGTAAATAAATGAAATGAAAAATGAAATGAAGTTGAAAATAGTGCAAATTACGTCAGAAATGTTAGTCGGATTCGCCAGATTTCCCGGCGGGCGCCTATCTTGCTAAACAACGCGCCGCTAGCGAACAGCCTTCTCAGCTGCTCGCAGCGCAGCTGCAGTCTTCAGAAGGCGAGCGCCCGTGAGCCGCGCTCATCCTGAACACTGCCTCTTGTCTCACCGCGCGCAGGACTCCATCTTGTTCGATAACCTGTTCTCATGCCATGCTAGGACTGCTACTTGGTTCGGATGACGTCTCATGCACGCTAGGACTGCTACCTGGTGTCCATAAACCTGTTCTCACAGCGCGCAGGACTGCTACCTGTGTCGATTAACCTGTCTCACGCGCACAGGCTCTACCTGCGTGTCGATTAACCTGATTTCTCACGCGGATACAGGACTTGCCTACCTTGTGTCTGAATTAACTTGTTCTCACGCGTACAGGAGCTGCTCCCTGGTGATCGATTCGTGCATGAGAACAGTTAATCGACACCAGGTAGCAGTCCTGCGCGCGTGAGAACAGGTTAATCGACATCAGGTAGCAGTCCTGCGCGCGTGAGAACAGGTTAATCGACACCAGGTAGCAGTCCTGCGCGCGTGAGAACTGGTTAATCGACACCAGGTAGCAGTCCTGCGCGCGCGCATAGCGAAAAGCTTCGTTGAGCACGTGTATAGAATGTTGCGTGCGTACATTTACAACACGGGCAAGTCTTTAATAGCGCAATCTACTTGAGTTTAGCATATGCAGATTGTAGTCAATGGTGCATGCTTTTGAACAGTTTCTGCTTCATGCTGCTAGATACCGCTACTAATTTCATTCACATATTTACGACGAGTAGATTTGTTGTCTGTATGTTGCTTTACTTGAATATAGCAACTAACTTTTATGGGTGCTAGATTTCAGTCGATGCTCAAGTACAACAGGATTTTGGAATTTGATTACTAGATGCATTCAGTACCTTGTATTTAGTTGGTATAAAAATGTAGTGCTGCTGAAGCTTCTCAACTGTCTGGTACTTCGTTGAGACCTCAACTTTTACAGGATCTTGCAAGGAAGCTCTCTGAAGCTTTGCAACCTACACATAAAAATACCACATTGACATTATACATAACATACAGAAGATTCTGCACTATGACCCTCTAAGATGCACCACACCAGTTTCAAAATGAGAAATGTAATTCCAAAGCATAGTGATATTAACCCTACATAAGTATCTACATACCTTTTTTGTCATTGTTGCAGAAAACAAGTAAGTATGTCGATCTCTTGGAATGACTTTTAGGATTTTATCTACTTCAGCTTCGAAGTCCATGTTTAGAATTCTATCAGCTTCATCCATCACCTACAATATCATTACATTGCACATTTGGTAAAAATAGCTTAGTTTTCTACCCAAAATCATTCCTATAAGAATATGATTTGCCTTAGAACACCTTACTAGTGGAATAACCAAGACTTTGGCGAGTAACTTTTATCTAAACTAGTCGCACGAGCACATCCGGCAATACATACCAAATATTTTAGAGCTCTTAGGTTAAACCCTTTTGTGTTTTCCAAATGATCCACCAGTCGACCTGGTGTGGCAATGACAACGTGTGGCTTCTTTGCGAGATGTATAGCCTGGGTCATCATGTCAATGCCTCCAACGATTACAGCTGCAAAGTGCAAACAATATTAAATTGATTATTACGAGATTTTTGCTCAGAAAAACGAAATATAGCTGATTATAGTCTCACATGACAGCAGAAATATCACTGATTACACCAACATTAAAAACACTAAGATGTCATGCAGTTATAGCATAGAAAAATGGATTTGACCACATCGTAACAGCAATAAATTTTATCGTATGCCGACTCACAAAATCACAAATGGCGCCTTCAAAACAAGTGCACATAATTAAAACAACGGTGTGTGTATTTCTGTGTGCATGTAAATCAAACAAGAGCCGCAGAGCGACTGGGCTCTGCTGAGGTCTGTTGCTATGATTATTCATGCGATTCTACAAGCTGCATCTGACTTCGCCAGCTGAGATAATAAATATTAGATCTATAAATCTTAGATGTAGATAAAAATGTTGCTTGCATAGGGGCGTAGCAAGAGTCCGTGTCATGAACAAAACACAGCGACACCTGGCGCCAACGAATTCATTTAATTTCGATAGGTAGATGGATTTATTTCTTACGTAGTATAGACATTTTCTTGTGTTACACCACACTGTATTTGCCTGCATAATCATCCATTATCTTTGCTATAAATTTTATTTGAATTTCAATTTGGTTTCGAATTTTGAATGCGTGCAAGTTACTATCATCCCTGCACATTCTTGTCTATCCGAATAGATGGGGGGCCGCTTTCAAAGGCATACTTTATCGTGCAATGCAGCAAGGTACATTTCGACTAGATGGGTCCCCGCCGTCAACTCCACTCACTGCTCGCTCTGCCATGCCCAGCGAGGCCTAAGCCGAGAGGTGGGATCGAGTACCAGTGTAGCAGGGCTACGCGAAAAGCTGTGGGGATATTCTCAGCGCAATGACATCATTGCTAAACTTGAATGCGGTCAAGAATAAGTCACAGGATATTCTCAGCGCAATGACATCATTGCTAAACTTGAATGCGGTCAAGAATAAGTCACAGGATATTCTCAGCGCGATGACATTATTGCTAAACTTGAACGCGGTTAGGAATAGTACATCGCGTGACCGCTTGCGTTCTAACTGCGTACTGTGGGCGTGGCCCAATCACCAACCAGCCTTTCGGTCAGGTGACCCTGGTTTGATATCAAGTTCGATATAAAATCTATTCACAGCTGGGCTCAGTTTCCCGCGCCCATAGCCACAGCACTATGGATAGGGGATACGCGCCCCCACTATGACCACACACGCGCGATGGATATAAAAACCTACCGCGCGCTGCGACACCTAGCCAGTCAAAGCCAGCAGTTACTTAGTTAGTCAGTTAGTCTTAGTCAGTCACGTAGACACACGTAGTGAAGAAGTAGAAGAACTTATATGTGTTGTAAAACATTACCTAGTCTGTATTTAGTGATTCGCTGAGTAGAATAAAACCATCTAGTCTATATTACGACCTATACGATCACGTGCCTACACACAGTCAGGAATCGTCTATAACACATGTACAATAGCAGAAACCTGGTACACCAGTCTACATTTCGAGCAGCTATCAGCGGCCACAAAAAGCCAAAGTCAGTGCGAGACTGCGAGTGTATTCGCAATGTGTACACTACAGAATCTCATATAGTTATTGTTTAAGTAAGTAAACGTTGTTCAAGTAAAGAGTTATGTGTGGAATTTCACTGTAAAATGTGAGGCTTCCACAACCACAGGTACTGGCAAACGCAGCCGAGTAGGCAGTAAACCAATCCATGTTTAAAGTTAAATGCATATACATAGACCTACCGACACTGTCACCTCATCTTTTGCAAAAATTCACTAGAACCCCAATGTTTGCATCATTTCACTGGCTCAATGAGAACATTTCGTGATGTTTGCACACTGCAAGTATGCTCAGAGTAGGTCTATATAGGCTTTTTGTTGCGAGGTGTCCGTTTTAACCCTCCTCTTGAAAGTCAAAAGGTTATCAGACACTTACTCTTCACACGTCAGCGGAAAGTACATTTCATGGTCCTTTCAATAAAGTGATAAAAATGGTAGGTCAGCGCTGAAACAAAAATGTTTTTCACTCGGTCCGTTAGACCATGTCCTCAGAAAATGTCTGATATCTGACCTTTCCCCCACTCCCATTTGACCTGTGACCTCCAATTTTGCGCTGGTGATGGCTTTCCTCCCCATCACACTATACATCGAATATTAAAGTGATTACGTCACCGTAAATAGTAAAAATAAAAAAAATATTTCCACTTTTTCACAAAAAATATAAGTTTCTGTTCACATTTTATGGTTAAATTGCTGCATTATACTTCCTATTTTACTATATTGTTCGATGTGAACATACACTCGTGACCCATACATAGTCATAGCCCGTAGCAAGCAATTTATGTTGAGAACATTCATTCAAATCGTCCAGGTTTTTTGGATTTTTAACTAGTTGAGAAACAATCTTATCAGGTAAGAATTTGACGATTTGTTTAGTCCCGTTAGTTCTTACTTTTAATGTAAAAAAATGGCAATTTTTTTTACAAATTTTACCATAGAAAATTCGTGACGTAGTCCCTTTAATAGCGTAGGTCGAGCCGTTGAGATTTGTGCCGCAATTCCGTATTTCCTCCTATACCTAAACTTATGGGGGAAATATTCCCCCACCATTGACACATCTTGACCTTTGACCCTTGACCCCCAAATTCAACATCCCGAGTCCTATTTCGCAATTCCCCCCCACGCACCCCACCCCGGCGTCCCGAATATCAAGATCGTACGTCGCGCGGTTAAGATTTGTGCCGTAACTGTTGACACACGAACAGACGGACGGACGGACGGACATTCATGCGATTCTACAAGCTGCATCTGACTTCGTTAGCTGAGTTAACAACCATGGAAACAGTAGGGCATGTACTTTGGAGTTCAGAGAAGAAGAGAAGACGTTTTTGGTCAAAGCAGAGCTATATGTGAGTCGGAAAGGGTTCCGAATGAGCCTTGGCAACAAGTTTCTTTACCGGGCATCAGTATTACACTCCCCGAACGCTAGTCTAAACCTCTGTGTTTACACTCGGACCAAAACTGCCATGGTGCGACTATTTTCTACTGCGCCCAGGTCGATGTCTCGCGCTCACCGCGAGAAAGTCCGAGAGATGGTAACAGAAACGATATCAGTAAACAAAAGTTGTAATCGTGCATGGTTTGGTGAATACGAACGTTCTAACACATTTTATCGTTACTCTAGACAATTGCTGTTACTCAAGCAATAACGGTAGGTATCATGAGTGGGGAAAACACTGGAAAACTCTCGTAACAATTACTTTAAAAGCATACATCAATAAGCTCCCAGCATTTGTCTTATGATATCTATGATTACAGCATATACACAGGCATATAAATTTAGATCTACTCACCACATTTAATACCAATGGATGAGCCAAGTGCCTCAAACTGTTCAGATATCTGAAATGCAAGTTCTCTAGTAGGTGTGAGAATAAGACCGAATAACCGTTGTGGATTCTCTAGCAGAGCTTGTATGATGGGAATTGCAAATGCTCCCGTCTTTCCTGATCCCGTCTCAGCCAAACCAATAACATCTTTACCTGCAAACAGGGATTTACATAAAATATACTTCTGATCAAGCTTTGATGCTAACATCTATAATAATTAAGATGCATAATAATTAAGATGACTAAGATACAATGTATTAATATTTATTACACATTTATGGTAATAGTGCTAGCCTAGAAAGTGTCACTATCATATACTATACACGTTTTACTAGTGTATAACTTGGGAGTAAACATATAACTGATTGACATTCGTATTGCAACCACCATGATTATATCATCAGGAGTGAATAAAAACAAAGGAGTGTGCAATGGTCAATTATTGAAAATCTATCGACTAACGTTCACTACCACTACTAGTATACCTACAATTTATTATGTTTAATTCAACAAATTGGAGGTCAAAATCTACCTCAAACATTTCCCTAGCATCACACATAATCGGTTTCCCCATATATATTCACAATTCACGAGTATAATTAACAATTTTCATAATAATATCAAAGTGACCTATGATCTATTTCATACCAATGACATAATAAACACACGTTAGACACAACCTCATAAAGATCAGTCTTCAAAATCCAGGAGACTATATCAAAAAAAGAAGAGACACAGAGTTGTTCAAATAGACCAATACCATCGCATCAAAACTGCGGATCGCAGTAGAAAGCTTTAATTTTGCAATTAACTAAAGAGGAAGGAAGATAATTCCAATACGGCAGGGTTCTACGAAATATTTTTTACCACTTGCCCTGCGCAAGTGCTGACAAAATTGACTTGCACAAATAAAAATGTCACTTGCCCGAACAAAAATATCAATTGCCCGATGACGATGTGTATTACTTCATGTTCACTCAATTTATGTGCTAATATATATATGTTTAAAGTTGTATATATGTTTTATAATCCCTCAGATTGTTCAGATAGCTTTATATTGAATGTTTTTAAAATGAGAGCGATACATGTAACCAAATTGAATGTACGGCAATGCTAATCAGGGCATTACACACAAGTGTGTACAAGTGATATCAAGCGAAGAGTGGTAAACCCTTTTCCATTTCTTCGAGAACATTGCGCGCAATTCCACTACACTCAAAGAACATTTATCACTTTTAACACAGAACATATCATACTAGCACTCATTGCTACTTTAGTAACCACACTGCTACGTACATTTATTTATCTACGATCGTGACACAAACATATGCACACGAGCGCTGCGAGTCCACTTCACTATCACTATAGTAACTATCGTAGGAACGGGGAAAACCCAAAAGGGTACGTAGTGTGTAACTTAGTACGCTTTATTTTTCTGCCAAAATATTCATCTTAGGCTCAGCTGCTATGGAATCGTCGATCCTGGAAACGCACTGAAAATTGAAATTGCAAAATTGGGCAATTGCCCAATCGGGCAAGTGCAGGCTTTCAGATTTGAAAAGTACAGGAGGAGCTAACGTAATGCACTTGACCGCTGGGACAATTCCTATGGAGGGGGACTTTTCTCCACGTGCGTCCGGGCTCGCAGTAATCGACATCACGGTTAAGAGGCATGATGGAGAGAGGCTCCACTAAGAGAATCCCACCCTAGGAGGCGATGCGGATCCGAGGAGCGTATCGGACGCCACTAAACATCCGACACTTTAAAGAGGGATGATTGGAGGAGGCTCCTTGGAGGGCTGCTCCCATCATGGCTGCTCTTGGGTGTGGGGGGATGGATATACAGTGGACACAAATCCTGGTTGGAAGGCAGTCGGTATTGGGAGTGCCAGATCCAAAACGAAAATTGGATGTTTCATTAGTCAAGTCTACGGTCTGTGATTAATCATTCATCTTCACGCGCCCGGTACATGTACATATCACTGGCTTCGTCAGCGATTACAGTTCCTTTGTCATCCAATTTCTAACCCAACACTAGCACCCAGATTAGAAAAAGAGTGCTGGATCGGACATGTAAAGAGAGATGTATAACTTTGTTTTATTTAATTCTGGGAATGTTCCTCATCGCTTAGAGGAATTATTCTAATATTCGCAGGTACGTACGCTGCAGTGATTTCAGCAAGACAAACTAATATCAGCAAGTGCCATGGGCAACAAACTAGCCCAAAATTACGTTGTAGCCGTAGTAAGGCCGTACGTATGTCAGCCCCGCTCCAGCCCCTAACGACTGGTTTCAACGTCGGCATGAAAGACGCACTTTCTCCAGCCACCGTCATAAGGTAGAAAGAGGCAGGTAACGACTTGATGGGCCATACGCGTAATAGGCGTACGTTGCATAGTTAGATGGCTGTTGGTTTACCCGTTGATGACTTTATATACATATATTTAAATTGAGCGCCTCAACAAGCCCAGCGGGAGTAGTACCACCAGTACCTGTTACCTTATACTGCGCGAGCATCCCACCTCCCCCCACCTCTTCAGATAATTCTGCATCCTTGGATGGTGAGCACCACTATATCATTTGTCTGTGATAGGTTGCTGAATCTCATTGTTATGTACGTCCCTTGGGGGACCCCCTAAGCCACAGTTGCGAGATACGTCTATGGAGCGGCTATTTCAAGGTAAACCATGAATAGGGACCATACTTTTTGGTGCGCGGACACTTGGATATACAACTCCTACGAACATTTGTATGTTAGATCGCGCGGTAATTGAGCTGTGTTGCAACGCAGCGACACTGGCACACCTATTTCGGGTGCGCGTACGGCGGTGTGGAGGCGCCGAGCGCCGGCGATCGGCGCCCTATAAAAACGAAAGGCCTGCCTGCAGAGGTGGTTTGGTGCAAGGACCCTTTATGGCGACGATGAGCAAGAGTATACCTACAAAGACGCTAAACTTAGAAGGCGTCGCCAGTGCGCCAGCACTGGGCCGGACTGGGTCGCACGAGTTTACGCCCGCGGATTCGGGTGCAAGGATCTCCCCGGAGCCCGTAAAATTATAATCCCTGTGGCGATCCGGCGCTGAAAAAATTACGAGACGGTCGAGAAAAAGCATCAGCCTAGGTCACGATCTCCAGACCGACGCCGCGTGGACGGGCAGGCCACAGACCATAACCTGGAATTGAGCGCGGGAGTGAAAGCCGGCCCCAAGCACGGAGTCCCGCTACGGACCGCGTCCCGGACCGCGCCCCGGGCGGACTGCCTGCGGACCGCCACGGACGCTGGATCCGGTCGCTGGTCCGTGGCCCGTCGCTGGCCGCCAGTCCGTGCTGCATCAGTGGGTTCCCCATCCGTGGTTGGGTCCGACTTAGAATCCGCGTAGCTGTCCGTGGCCGGACAAAGAATGACAGCGGGATGGCCACGGAGTGGCGGGGCCGGTGGTTTCGGCAACAACGGTGCCACTGACGGGACTGTCCGCGGAGCGCTACGCATGGGACCGCATCGGCGAACCCGTCCAGGGACCACCCCCGGCATGCAGGGAAAACTCTCCCGACCTGCCCGGAATGGCGACCCCGGCAAACATTGCAACGAGTTTAACGTACCTTTCGGGGCGATACTCGGCGCCGGAATACAGTCCCGCCAGGACCATCACAAGGGGACCGCACGCCCCCGGGACGGCGGCCGGACCCGCTCCAGGACCGTCCAGAAGCCCAGCAAGCAAGACTCTGCCCTCCGGCGGATACAGTCCGGGCAGCCGGTCCGGCAGCCGCGGTCCCGGGAGCTTGGTGGTGACTGGTAGCTTTAAAGGGATCCGTTATCATTCTTGTGAAGATACAATAGTCGGCCAGAAGCAGTGAGTCCCGCTTAGATGACTGCGAGTTGCTCATGAAGCAGGCGAGGCTTGTATTAAGCAGAAGGGGTAGAATGCGATCTGGTCGCCTAACCATGCTTAAAACGTAGTTTATGGAAAAGGCTTATGAACTGTGGTAGGCGAGTGAACCAGCGGGCCCCCACAAATAGTGGAGGGCGCCATAGGTCTGCGGCAGGGCGCTAGGAACATAGCTCTCGGATATAGTATTTGATGTTCTCGTATGTATGGGTGAGTCGTATGAGTATCTTGGGCGGCGCTACATACGGCGGCCCAAACCGGGCGGCAAGCGCGGATCTCTGGATGGCAGATTTTCACAGGGCCATGCTCTTAGGTACCCGGGGAGGTGGTGTCGTAGGCCTAGCGAAGGAAAACCTGCCAAACCGTGCCAAGACTCGGACCGAAAAACGTGCCGTGGAAAAGACGCCCTCAGGTTCGTGCACCACATCTTCACACAATAGGTCGGAACCTCGGCCTGTACATGTGCTGCGCACAGAAGACGTACGAAGAAATTAGGGAACCTGTCCGCTCATTGTGGAAACTCCGCCGGACCGGGGTCCCTAAAACAGGATGCACACAGCCGGAGGCAATAGTATTTGATGTGTCAGTGGTGGGGGGCGCGCCGGGCCGCGCGAGAGTGGCGGGTGGGCCGGTGTGCTTTCTACAGATTGAACCACGGCTTCCTAAGTGCGGCCTGTGGTGGGTCAGCGACTGGCATTGTGTTTACCAAGGAGGGCCTTTGAAAATGAGAAGTGCGAACCGCATGTCGAGTACGATGCTCGGGTTACAATAACGTTCTTTCTGTATTTACAACGCTGACACCATAGTTCACTGGGAGTGACTGTTCCCAGGGGTTCTAGCGGTGGTGGGTGCTGTCAATAAGATGGTCATGAAGCGTAAGCGTTTTGTTTGGACACAGGAGTGCTATCTATACGCTGATCTAAACTGATCTTCGTAAATCACTGGTTAGTACGCAGATCTCAAGCTATAGTGTGTTAGGTCATGAGTATTGATGATAGGGGTTTTGAGGGAGGTTCACGATTGCTGCACAAAGCATGCCACACGCGATAAAGAGCCGCGGTACGGCGAAGTGAGTAGAAGCATGTTCTTATTGTAAGTTACGAGAATTTCCCCCACTGGCGCTGCCTGTCTGTATACTCATATATCCGACTTTTTTTTTATTGGCATGCTACGGATTGTCAGATCCCATTGTTAGCCATTCGAAAGCTATGCCTTTTCTGATTCAGTAGAAAAATTCCTGGTGCATTTCGAAATGTGTACAGCTGGTTTGCGCGCCAAGCATTCACTAGACGAAATCCTCCAATGGGACACAGGACCCCACGCGCTGGCCTGTCTCTATGCTATACTGTAGGTAGCCCAATTTCGTTGTATCTCATTCCTCAGCGATCCGTGACAAATGGAGTAGGCTGTACCGCTGCGCTCGCAGGCTCAAGTCAGTTTCGAGGGACGCGCCAGGCAATACTCTACATGTTTCCGACCACACAGATACGACGGCTAAAACCAGTGTGTTTAGTCCAAGAGAAGGTTTTCAATGAAAACTGCGAACCCATTCGGTGACATGCGGGTTGATAAGTTACCCACTTTTCTCATTGTCGCACGATAGTTAGCTATCTATGTCTCCCAGGGGTTCTAGAGCTTAGGGTTCTGCCTGTCATCACGTAGAATGTCAGTAACGTAACAGGTTTTTCGCCCCGCATGCTGTAGTTAATCTTATCGTACACTGATTTCTACATATTGATGATCTGCTGTGGGCAAGTGTTATATTGTGGCGGTCGAATGTTTTACGCCCTCAATGTTCCTAATTGTAGGTCCAATCATTTAGTAGTATGAGATTAGTAGTGCACGATTTTACCGGGCAGCGCAGCGGGTACCCGCAGCTAGTATAATATATAATCATATTATATATAATTATTTTATAAACATAATATAAATTAGTTAGATTAAGGCTATATAGAACGTAGGATACCGTATAATTTACTAAATTATTTAGCCTTGCTGCACACTCTTTCGCTTAAATTCACTCCTAATAGCATTCATATCTTGTACAGGGCTCAAAACTAACACTCGCCCGGGCCTAGTAGATATTCGTAAGGGCTAGTAGCATGTTATTGTTACAATGTTATGGTAGCTCTAGTACTATAGCCCGCGTACAGTTGATGCACGCGGGCTATAGAACATTTTATTACGAATGCTCGGGACCAACTTATTCACGGTTACTTGCGGCTATAAAACGTCTGTGGTAGGCAATTAATGCCGCTTATCCGAAGTGAATATGTCTTAAGTTATATCCGCAACTAAAATTTAACCTCTAACCTTCGTTGAAATGGATTACTTGCGGTATTTCTTGTGAACGAACATTATTTACGAACTTCAAACGGCGATTTTTGGTGGAACTGCAGCAGCGCCAGTCATCGGGAACTATGTATTTCCGCACGTGGAGGGGTGGGCAAGTTGGGTTGGTTGTGGACAAAAACATTGTTGTTGTCAAGTAACAAATTAAGCAATGAAAAAAAATTGTAATATTAGTTTTGTCATGAAAGATGAACAAATTACTATTATTAATTTGTTACTTGACAACAATGTTTTTGTCCACAACAAACACAACCCGCTCACCCGTCCACGTGCGGAAATACATAGTTCTCGCTTATTGGCTGGAGTAAGTTGGTACCGAGCATTCGTAATAGAATGTTCTATAGCCCTGCTGCAACTGTATGCGGGCTATAGTAGTACTAGAGCCAATGTTAGGGACGATCAGTATACAGCCTACAGGCTACAGCCTAGGCTCAGTACAGGCGAGTGGCACTGGCAGTGGCAGTGCCAGTATTCAGTATCTGATTCAAGTATAATATATGTGCGTGTGCAAAAGTCAATTTCACGACTAAATTTCAGCAGGCTTTCTAATGTTGATTTGAATTAAATCCATTGCGATTATTGCGATACCTTGTAACGCTAAAGGTAGCGACTCTTGCTGTATCTTGCTTGGCGTTTTCCAACCCAGCTGGTCACATGCTTCACACAACACATCGGTTACACCCTAAACGACAAATAAGTATGTTATTGTTATGTGTTATGTTATGTTCTCATACTTGTCAGTGTCCACTACACTGGATATAATGACAAGGGCTATAGCTAGCCTAGACCGAATAATTCTGTCCCATATAACCTTTTTTATATTTTGGTGAGGGTTATTGGGACAGAATGGGGTGCATTGAAATTTCGTGAGATCGCATGCAAAATGCATGCGCTCTTAATGCGTCCCGTACGCTGCTATTGGCGCGAAAAAAACCCTACCATTCCCTTCTACATGGCTTTACCTTGCTACTGATATATGTATACATTTACTTCAATCGTTATTCACTTCTTTAAAGGCATAATAGGCCCATTGATTATACAAAGTTGACGAATGCTACAGTAACTGGCACCTTCTGT